CCAAACTCAATACATGCATAAACATAGTATGCACAATACAAAAGGCAATCTACAAACAGTACAGAAAATTGTAATAATCTAGCACTCAGAACAGCCATACTAACAACATATTGATAACAGAAAGTCTTCAAAATTGTAATTGGGATGTTCAGTTCATTGATTACCCAAGAAAAAATTGTGGTGCATGGGAATTAATTTGAAATGGGCAAGCGTGGAGGCTCCCACGTTTCGTAACCCCGAAATTTTGGTTCATCCCGACCTCCTCCCAGCTCCCACCAATATATCCTGGTCGCCCCAAACCTTCCATGTCCCCGCCACCCCTGCCTAACCCCCGCTCAAGATGGGGTGGGGTAGGGGGGGTGCAAGGGAGGGGCAGGGTTCCAAGTGTGGGCGGTGTTGTTTGGAATGGTAGGAGCGCTCCCTGTTTTGATGCGCACCAGGCCTCGAGGAGCTCGCCTTCCTGAAAGCGAGGATCTCCACAATCCTAGATTCATGTCAATGGAAATATATGGTGACAGGTTGAGGTCACAAAACATGGTTTATACACACTCGAAGCATTGCGTGTTCTGTCCTGCTGCCGCTCCAGCAGCTTATCTCGTAACGAGCCACGACACCTGCAGTGGGAAAGCCTGTCTGCACATGTCTGCACTTCTCCTACTGCTGTGAGCCAAGGTGAGCCAAGACTGTTGCAGCTCCGTCTGAATGTGCAAGCGGCTGTCCTTCAGAAAGTTGAAGTGAGAGGAAGCTGAAGCTTGCCCGGCCCCACGCCCTACCTCCCACCAGGAAGAGTAGTAGCGGACGATGTAAGGACAAGCTGCAGCCTGGCGCAGATACAGAGTGGTGCTCTGCAGGAGCTGTGCCTTTGCCTGGTCTATGCATCCACTTTACCTCTCGATACCTCCCGCGTGTTCATGGGGTGAGCACTCAAGCCCACCCATCTGCCGACACTCTGCTTTTGCGAGTCACGTCGTAAACAGGCTTGCACCAATGTGCGCGAGTTCTTCTCTCAACCCTGCTCGGGCGCGAGTCGTCCCGGATTTCCCGGAGCAAAGCACTTCCAGGTAAACATGCACGCAAATGACGGGCAAGCAAACAATCGCATTGTCGTGCATGCTTAGCTCGGCGCAGCCTGCGCTGCCTGTAATGTAACTTGCTTTGGATTGGATTAGAAAAGCAGCTTTGCCTGATTTGCGTGTTTAGCATATACTGCATGCTTCCGCATCTTTGCGCGTGCATTGCGTGGCACCGTTATGCGCATCGCTCGACGCCCAGGAAGCGGGGCCTCCATGGATACGCACGCCAGAGCCAGAGCCTCCTTCAGTTGATTCTCGCGGAGGCCTTACACGAGAGAGATGAGAGCAAAGGCCAGCATCACTGACAACACAGGCTTTATCCCTGTCCCGCGATATGCACACACTCAAAACATTTGAAGTTCCTAGCCTCTGCGCACCTTAGAAATGCTACTGGGATGTGCTGGGGTACTTCTTGAATTGCTTGTCCACAGCGGCTTCAATTCGAGTGGCTGATGATGTTATGAGGTTTAGTTACTGGCGCCGATGGTGGAAGTCCTGAGGCTGGAACCTCGTGTGACTTGCACTGTTTTCTTGACCTTCAGCTGCACACGTTGAAGCCAATCTCCACATGCAAGACTAGCCTATAATGTGAGTAGTCTCATTCAGCACAAAGGCCTGACTGCTTGGATCCGCATATACCATGTGCCGGCAGAATTTGATTGCTGAACCGAAAGCGACGCGGTGCTCTAGCTAATATTGGTCTGGTGCTCCACATTCTAGTGGAAACTAGGCTTGTACGCAGCGTCGTATTACGACACTATGGCGTGAGACGATGTCGAGTGGTGAAACGCATCTGCTGCCATCTCTGAACTTGCCAGAAACTGAACACGTTGCATATACAGTGTCGGTAGCGGCGATGCACTGCCGAACGATCGGCTCGAATTCAATAGCGTCGAAGACACCCACGTCAGCAGAAAGGGCATCTTGACACCTGGTGAACTATGTTGACACGATACTCGGTGCCTTCGCTCAGAGCGCAATCTTCTGCGGCATAAGGACAAACAAAATGGCCACACTCAGGGAGAGGTACTTGCGAAAGCTCGCCCCAGTTGTTGACACCACCTGCGCTCCAGAATGCTCCAGAACACGAGGGAATCTTTGATTTCACGAAGTCATGTCAGTCTTTCAGATTCGTTTGCACCCACGAAAGATAAACCAAATACTTATTCTTTCAACTGCGAGGCATCATGGAGCAGTGCACCCTACCACGCAAGCATGCTGATCATGAATTGCGCTCAAAGCCTCACAGGCTCACGCAATGTGAATGCTGCCTGGAACACTCGCGCGGGCAGCTGCGGTTCATTGTTGGGAACAGGGAAGGAGACCATAATTCCAGGATCCCGTACCTCTGTGCCTGCAGTCAGAGAGCGCGTGCAAGCTTTTGGACAAACTGCGTCTGACAGAAATGCATGCTCTCAAGTGCATCAAAGCAGCAAGTCTGTTCGGAACACAGACTCACATACCATTCGCTTGCAAATGGCCTGATCAAAGGCACCTCAGCAAACACTCGGCTACTTGCATCTGGGCCATGTCGCGATTGAAGCTGCTCCTTTAGATGGCAATGCATGGATAATTCCGTCCTCGCTCCGAGCAGAGCCTCGCTACAACTCCATCAAACCTTTGTCAAATATGATATGATATGATAAGACATGATATGATGGTATGCCCAATTGTGCAGCCAGTGGCTGGCTGGCACATGTCGTGCAGTTAGGACCGATTTGCATTTGCAGAGCAGCTGTCTGCTTGCATTAAAATATCTGCAACGGAGCTTGCATATTGCAAATTATGCATCTTGGGTTGAACGGTCCCACTTCAAATTGATCTTTGTTGGCCGACATGGCTACCCCTGGCGATTTAATTCAAGCTACGAAGGGAGGGAAGGAAGGAAGGAAGGAAGGAAGGAAGGAAGGAAGGAATCGACCTGCAGCTTACGGCTGCGGCCTCCCACACTTTTCCCCCACTGCATCTCTCAGGGGGCTTCCGAAAACGTCATCAACCCCCTCCGCAGAGTTCCAGAGAGGGCTCTAACCCAGGAAGCCCACGCAGGGCCGAGGACCGGTAGGGCCGGTTCAAGGAATAACAAAGCCCGGCGAAGAAGGTGAAAGCCGGAGGCTCAAAAGGCCGGCCTGGAGTGAAGAAGCTCAACAAGCTCAGGTAAGAGGGCTCGCTCCCAGAGGTTGGACTTTGAGCAGAAGTGATATGCAAGGTTCAGTGGCATTGGAACAAGGTGATTGGGGTCCGGCTTTTGAACACAGAAAAAAATTGAGGATGCTTTCGGGGTCACGGAACGCTTGCGAGGGCGAGCAGCCATAGGTAAGCGGCAGCAGCAGACGCTGCCGGAAGCCCGGGCTGCAGTGGGGAAGGGGTAGTAAGAGGAAGCTTCCAAAAACTTTAAAAAAAACACTGCATTTTGGGCAGCATGGGAAGCTTGCGACTATGAGCAGCCGTAGGGAAGCGGCAGCAACAGATGCTGTGGGAAGGCCGGGTTGCAATGGGGGAGGGGGAGCAAGAAGAAGCTTCGAAAAACAAAATTGAAACTTCGGCGCCCGGAAGCTTGCGAGGATGAGCAACCATAGGGAAGCAGCAGCAGCAGAGCTGCGGGATGGCCGGGCTGCAATGAGAGCAAGAAGAAAAGCTAAAAATTTAAGCGTGGCAAGCTTGCGAGGATGAGCAACCATGGGGAAGCTGCGGGAAGGCCAGGCTGCAATGGGGGAGGTGTCAATGTCATGTTGTCGCTGCATTGTTTGTGTCCAAGACCTGTGTTACAGTGCTGCATGTGCATTCATATCAATCATGTGGGAGAAGAACTCCATGTGAACAGCTTCCCTTGGACAGTGTGCACGAACGCAATCTTCTTGGTCCAAGGGGGCCCTCTTGAGCAGCAGGCGACGATACCATTGAGTGGAAAAGACCGAGTACGTGGACTGCTGACTTTGCGCGCAGCTTCCTGGTGGCACTGATTGTGTCTAGCGCTACCGAGATTGGTAGCGGAGCCTGCGGGCTCTAGCTGCCGAGTCCCAGGCTCCCGGGGACATGTCTGAAAAAGGCGGTGGCACATCTGGCTTGGCAGCAGGCAGCGAAGAACAAACAAATGGCGGAGGACAAGCTTCGAACCAGCGAGGGCTGGGCAGTGGTTTGGCCAAAGCCCAGCCTGCTGCAAACAAGTTGGATTCGAAGAGCTACCATTCTTACCGGCGACGACTTCTTCTTTTCTCGAAGCAGTGCAGCAGAAGAGGTCCGAATGTTGCCTTGGAGGGTGCATACCTCAATCTGTCCCTTCTTCAGGACTCCGCCTGGCAGGCAGCCGAGCAGCTGAACATTGGCGACATCAAAACCGACACCCACCCCTTCAGGCCGATCCTTAAGCTTCTGGACAGGCTCTACCAGTACGAAGAGGATGTCGAGCTTCCCTCTCGTTGTGAAGAGTTCTTCCAGGAGTTCAGCCGCATGAAGGGGGAGGAGCTGCAGGCCTATCTCATCAGGCATGCGACGCGGCGCAAGAAGATGTTGGAGGTCAAGATCGAATTTCCTGATCTCCTCATCGGATGGCACCTTTTGTCGCGGGCAGGGGTGCCAAAGTGGACGCATCTTCAGGTCAAGAGCCTCTGTGGTGGAGTTCTTTCGTACCAAAAGGTTGCGCAGGCTTTGCTCAAGATGTTCGGCGGAGATCACAAGCCCAACGCCGAGGGTCTTTTCCGAAGCACAGGTGGCCACGAGAATGCCTACGCGATCGACGATTACGAGGACACCTACTACTACGACGAGGCCGACGACTAGGACGACTTCTGGTGGGAGGACGACACGTACCGTGCGGAGCACTACGCGGAGGACGAGTCCCTTGTCGACGACGACGCCTCCGAAGTCGAGCAGGCTGTCGAGGAGATGGAGGATGCATACATCAACTATGTCGACTCGCGACGAAAGATGAAGGAGATTGCCTTGTCGAGAAGCTTCTTTCCTGTAAACGCGGTCCCTCCTTCTGACTTTGGCTCCGAGCCAACGAAGCTAGCGGAAAGGGCGGATGGAGCGGTGGACGCATAGCTCTGTAGCTGCAAAAGGTGGACAGGACCCTTATCCACCAAAGCTGGGCACTTTTCCTTTGTCCAAAACCAGGTCTTCAGGTAGTGAAGAGCGCAACAAACATGTTCATGTACAGTGCTGCGCAATTGTGACATGCGCAGCAATGTGGCGCAGCTGTGACAGGCTTCAGAGTCCCTATGCATGTTGAGGTACCTCCCAACAGGAACAGGCTCACACAAGAGAGTCGGCAAGTGGAGGGCAAGATCAGATCACACGCGCTCTTGGGGTGCGTGAACATGAAATATCCCCTCCGGGGGTCAAGCAGTGACAGTTGAACGAGAAGGAAAGCCAGGCAACTAGTTTACTACATCCTCCGGGACGCTTGCAAGTGTATGTGTGTGTCCAACTCTGTTGCCAAGAGATCTA